GTGTTAATAAAAGATCAGATCACAATATCATTCATGACTCATATTTAAATTTTTAAACCTGATTAAAAATAATTAATCCTAATAGTTTTTGAATATGTGTATATATATACATGTATATATGTTATATATAGTACATCCATATATGTGCTTATATGTATGTTTTGGGTATACACTATACACATACACTTGCATATGTGTTCATGTGTATAATTGTGGATACATTATATATAGATATGTGCATATGTATGTATGAGTATGTAGGTGTGCATATACATGTTCATGTATGTATGTATGTATATATATATATATATATATATATATATATATATAACATAATATTTCTCAACATTTACTAAAGCAATATTTTTCCTTTTTTCGTAAATTACCAACAAGAGCCATAAAAAATCTTTTTGCCAAGAGTTCCGTGCTTTGTCCTTTACATCTGGCAGACAGAAATCCATATCAGTGTGTTTAAGTCTTGTGTAGTCGTAACATCTACAAATATCTTCCAAAAAAATCGAGTGTTTTTAACAAAAAAATATTAGTGATATGGATATATAAATTATTACAGGTAAATAATTTTTGCTTCTCAATTTTATATAAAACCTTTTTTAGTTAAGTCTTATTACTATCTATCCGGTACATAATCCATTCCTTTATAACAAAAAAAAAAAAAAAATTTTTTTTCTAATTAATCTGTATTGACCATTGTTAATTAATGTTAATCAGTATTTTAAAAAACATTGTATTTGACAGAATAAACCTGATGATGGAACGTACCTAGTTCCGAAACGTCGTATTAAACATCTTCAAAAAACAAATTGTTTTTTATTATTGGATTTACTGTTCGAAAAAGAAACAATCAATATATTGAAAAAATCCAGGACTTATCTATTGAATATATATATATATATATATATATATATATATATATATATAAAAATACTATAACTACCCATTCGTCATAATAAAAAATTAGTTAGAAAAAAATAAGTTTCTTAATTATATGTTTCGACACTTGATGTGTGTCATCATTCCAAGTTTAAAATTTTTATTTTTTTTATGGAATTAAATACAAAACTATAATTATTAGAAAAAAGACAATTATATTATTTAAATGCATAATGGAGCAAAAAATCAAACTACCCGCATAAGTGACAAAAACATTGGTTTTTTGTGTTAAATTTCGTAAAAAAAAAAATTTTACTAAGATGATGATTATTAAGTTTCATGCTTTGTTGAATATACGCTGGTACTTCATGTTGGATTATTTTAATTTAATTTTCATTATTTAAAATATCTAAAATTGCATCGTAAACTATTAATTAACATAGTAAGGGTCGAATTGTTTTAAAGTCAAATTTAAAAAATATTGTCCAAGATTAGTAACATATGCAAAGTAATTATATAATTTTGAATGATATAGAAATTTTGAGTTATTTTGATTGAATTAAAAAATTATAAATTTCAATCCCAAATCTCGTTAACCCCTAAGGCGTGCGCCCGCATTTTTTGCATGCATCGTATTCAAAGCAGGACCTTCCCTGTGTGTTTGCATTTATTTATTAAACTGTCAAAACGTCGAATTAAAAAGATTCATATATGCAATTATATATTTGTACGTTTGAAACTTGATATGTGCAATCATTCAGCATTCTGTAGAAAAATTTTCTAGAAGAACTACTACAGTTAAATGAAATCCAGTACAGTTAAATCACAAAATATTTGTCGAGATTATAGCACATTTTTTTCTATTATAACTATCAGTACAATAATATTATATATATATATATATATATATATATATGTATATATATATATATATATATATATATATCCATCTCTCTAAACTGCATTGAATTGCATGCAATCACGATTTGTATTGTAGAAATAAAAAGCATTTCCATCATGAATAATACCTTATGAGTAATTGTTCTTGAATACATCAATTTAAATGTATGAGTGAACGTTTATACATTTATCTGAAGCTATGTGATAAAAAAAATATTTTGAAATTTATTTCAATACAACTAGAGACTTATAAACATAACTTTATAACAGTACAGTCAAATTTAAAACTGAATCGGATGCAAGGTAAAATATTTTAGATTTTTGCGAACTACTTGTTACATATTTATTTCTTATATATTATTATATTATATTATTTATTATATACACACACACACATATATATATAAATATATATATATATATATGTGTGTGTGTGTGTGTGTATGTTAAATTTTTAATCTAAACAACGGATTCCAAAACCACGTGGTTTTAATATTAAATACTATTCCGATAGAATTTTATAATTCCGACTCCTATGATAGTAATATTTCTATGATTCAATGTTAAACACTCTAATATTAATCAGAAATTCAAACAATTTTTAAATATTTTTGCTTTTTCTTAGCAGAATAAATTTCATTTGTATTTTATGTGCAGGCTAATTTATTGCGCCATATATCAGTTTAGCAATTACTGAACCAGTTTTCTGTAAAATTCCACAAAAATGTGAATAATATAAAATCAATAAATATAATCAATAAATACAATCAATAAATAATAAAAATAAGTGTTTCATACAATTGTTTAAGATTAAGAGAAGAACTTTGGTTCAAATAAACAATTGTTTATTATGTTATCTTATACCACATCTCATAATAAACCACGCACAGGTTCGAATTATTATTGATATAATTTTTTTAATAATAATTAACCGAATCACAATTTAATAAAAAAAATCTTTAAAAAAATATAAAATTCATTATATATAATATTTATATAATAATTATTGCAAACAATTTCTAATATAAATTTTTATTAATATACATCTAATAATTTTAATTAATTAAAATACTTACATTCTTAATCTTGTATATTGTTCCTGTTTTGTTTATTTTTAAACTCAATAAACTATTCTTCCGTTCAATACTGGTTCTATACTCACACTATAGCAATTTAAGCAATACCACTATAAGAAATTTAACAAGTGAACACGTGTTTACCGCAAATATGTATTCAAAATAATTTATATTATATATTATATTTAATATTTAAAATTTAAAATAAATATATGAATTAAACTATTCTTTTCGTGTAAGACTTTGATCCAGCAGTGTTAAAATAAAAATGAGAGTGTCATTAGGTTAACGCAAGATCACTGTCACTGATGTTTTCTCAACTAGTGGTGGGAATAGAATGAATTTATATATTCGAATTTGTCGACTTAATGCCGTGGTTTCCAACCTGTGAATAAATAAATATTTTTTATGTTTATTTGGGAAGCGCGTCCCAAGAAGATTGGAATCCACTGACTTAATGCATCACATTTTTTTTATTGTTACTTTAATAACAATTAAAAGGATATTTTTGATTTCATAATTTTTGTTATTACATATAAATGATTATGTTAAATCTACATGTTTATTCAATACAACAATCCAATGTCACTACAGTCAGTCAATGTGACTTTATAGAAGATTTTGTATTAGAAGAAGTAAACTCCTGGTGTATTTATTTATTTCTTTATAGAGTCAACCGTGAACCATTAGTTTTGGGTTCGATCCAAACGTCGTCACAGCTCGCTATCAAGCAGTATGAAATTAAATTTTCATTTGGGGTTATAGATCTTGAGCTCAGATATATTTCTTATCTAATGTGACTAAATAGGGAATTTGGATTAGAAGACAGAAACTCTCGATGTATCATAATATACGTTTATTTAGTTGTTTTTAGACCCAGCTGTGACCAACTACTTCTGGTTTTGATCCAAACTTTATTCAAGCTTGATATCAAGCAGTATGAAATTAAATTTTCACTTGATGTTATAGATTTTGAGTTCAAATATGTGTCCCATTCAATGTGACTTAATAGGGGATTTGGATCAGAAGGCAGAAACACTCGATGTATCATAATATACGTTTATTTATTTGTTTATAAAGCCAGCTGTGACGAACTGGTCTGCAATTCGATCCAAACCTCGTCTAAACTCGATATCAAGCAGCATGATATTAAATTTCTACTCGAGGTAATAGATCTCAAGTCCAAGTATGTAAGCAGATTATGTATTATACATAGTTCATGGAATAAACACAAGTGTGTAGAATTTTAGTTCACATTTTAGACAAAAATCTTGAACAGTTTTTTAAAATTCAAAATCTGTTCAAAAGCTATCAGATGAAAATGAGCTCAAAAAGCTCAGATTAAGCTGATTTTTTTTATTATAAATAAAATATTATAAATAAATAAGATTGATAAAAACGAGTGAAACTTTGCATGAGGCTATGGTTTATTGCCTTATGTGATAATCTAAAATATTATGAGCCTTTGACAAATGGTTCAATTATAAAAATTCACCAAAGAGGCCGTCTATTAATCATGCAATGTTTAAAAGAGGGGTAGGCAAGGGGTCTAACCAAAAATCTGTAAACAGCACGAGAAATAGGATGGGTCTAGTAAAATATTACGTTTATGTAAAATATTACGTGTTCCTAAATTTTAAAAAACAATCCAAAATTTTCCAAAAAAAATCTAAAATTTTACTTTTTTTTTCTTAGGTACCAAAAACACACGTGATTTTAAGTGAGGGAGGTGGTTAAATCTAAATATCACCAAGAAGAGGTGTCCGAAAATTTTTAAAAAGCGATTATGTGATTAATGGAGACCCCAAAGTTTGGAATAATGGAGCAATGTCTAAATTTCAAAATTTATCATCATAATTTTGAAAGTGCCTTTATCTCTCTCTTAGTATTTTTTATCTCGATTATTAACATATTCGGAATGGTTATGCCACTTCTTATAAGACAAAATGCCACTTACACCTTTTTAATATTACTTATTATTATAATTTTTTGTATTTCCCGCATTTTCTGCAAATCCACATTTTTCTGTTATTCTATTTACCATAGTATAGTTTCCACTCTCATTTAACTCGTATCTGTTCCCTACGACCGTTCTGCAATTTGACAGCTTTGGCCATATGTGTTTCTGGATTAGCAAAAGTCATATTAGGTGTATTAACCTTAAATGTGATATTTTTATTATAATTTCTTAGATTTTACAACAATGTAGTGGCTATAACAAAGGAAACAAAAGTTTCTATTAATTTGTTACACAAAACATCTCGTTATGGAGATGGAAGAATTATTTAATTCCTTAGAATCAGATAATCTCCAAGTGGTAGAAGATGTCAAGAAGCAGTTTGCAGATTATTTTAATAAAAGTATGTTCATTTATTATCAGTAACAAATATTGTATAATGTGCATATTTTATTCATATATCTTTTACAGCAAAAGAATCATGGCTAGTTACATTTTTGATAGATTATTATTTGCAAACAAATTCTGTAAGAGTTGTAGATGTTTTGTTAAAAGTACAGTCTCCTCATGATAGATTTATTTTCGATCGGTGAGTGTGTAATTTTTTAATTTTAAAAAGCTTAATGTATATTTCGAACTGGTTTATAATATTTGAATTGGTTTGCAGAATTTTAGATTTGATTAAAAGTTCTAATAAACAGAAAGGATTAGATATCTTAGGAATTATTGTTCGACGTCAACCAACATGGCTCTATCATATTATGCAACATAATTTGTTCAAAGAAACTCTGAAATTACTTAAGGTAAATTATTTTAATAATGTATCTAGCTAATATAACATAATTCTTAAAACACTAAATATTATCTGTTTTAAAATGAGATTTGAAGTCATACTAACTGCAATATTTTTATATTATCCGTAACACATTCTTATTTAGAATGATGTTTATTTAGCTAATGTTAATATGACTTTTATTGCTATTTAGTTTTTTTAGATGGATATTTAGGTTTTATGTTAATATGACTTTTATTGCTAATCATGAATTTCATTCTATGTATCAAATTATATTGTATAGCATTGTATTATGTATTACTACTGTTTGAAATTATTCTTATTATTGATAGAGTTGCTTAGCTTTTTCTATCATTGTATCATTTTACAATCAGATTATTTATTTCCAAACTACTTGAAATTTTAAGGTGGAGACCGATATTGTGCCATTTATGAGTGCTCTTCTGTGCATAATAGCTTTATTACCCATGGTTCCTTCTTTGATATCACCTTTTCTTATGGATATATTTGAAGTATTCAGGTAATATCTAATTTCATGTTTACTGAAATCATTAACATAAGATTTTGGCTGAATTTTGTTATTTTTGCAGTCGTTTGGCAGCATGGAAGGGAAATAATACAACTAAATTGCCAGAAGATCAGCTTATACATTTGCAGGTAAAAATGTTTGCTACTAGTTCTGCTTTATACTAAATGATAATTTTAATTTAATACTTTTTATATAATTTCTTTATTCATAAAAACAAGAATCAACTATACAGTTTACATTAATTCTAATTTCATTATTCTATTAGGTTGGTTTGTATGCTCTTTTTCATCGACTTTATGGAATGTTTCCATGCAATTTTGTATCATATTTGAAAAACAAATATAGCAGTCGGGATCAAAGTGTAATTTTTGGCCATACTATTAAGGTAATCAATTATTAATAAATATAAATACATTCATATACAAATATTTCATGTATAAATAATATTTTCAGCCATTATTAGAGACTGTAAAAATGCACCCTTTGCTTATTACCACCAGCAAGGAAAGAGAAACCGATAATTCACGGTTAGATATTCATGATTTAAGTTTTAATCCCAAATTTGTAATAACAATTTATGAAATATTTCATTTCAAGTTGTATAACTTAAAATATGATATATTAAAAAATATTTTGTATTATTTTTATTATTTTGAATATGGTTTTTAGATGGAAAAATATGGAAGTTCATGATGTAGTAGTTGAATGTTCTCGAGTAATGTTAGAAAATATTGAAAGACCTGATAACCAAGAATATATTGGATCTAATTCAAAACATATTGATTGTTCTTCAATAAATTTTGGTAAAAGAATTATATCTTAACAGATTTGCAAGTGTTATTGTTATACTGTTGATTTTATTTTAGAAAACTCGAATTTATCAAGAAGCCATATCATCACTAGTCAAGATTTCCATGCTTCAAAAATGGTGGGTAACTTCAAAGATTTTTTTTTGTATTATAATTAATATCTGTTATTTTACTATCACTCTGCATCCAAATTTTGTATATAAATTATTTTGGAACATAATTTGGAATAAGATAATTTTGTTAACTGTTTCATTGGATAAATTCTTTACATTTATACATAGGTTGATCGCATATCTGAAAACAAAGAATTTTGGAGTCCAAGTTTCACATGCCCTCCTACAACGCCACCTCAGACACCCACTCCTGTTCCTAATACACACGTAAGTTTAGTGATTCCAATTATCTCAAAAATCCTAAATATTCAGAAAAATACATAGTATTTTTATTATAGAGTTATACACCAAATATAACACCTTCATTGATGGCATCAAACATCAACACAAATCTTTTAAAAAATGATGGGCAAGAAGGAGCATCTCCACCAGAGGCTGCAATAGAAGCTACTCCTGAAAGCACACCACTAAGGGTTAGCTAAAGTTATGATAAACATAAATGATTTACTCAAACTATATTAAATTTATTCTATAGGATATGCGCATTAGGCCAATACCTCCAAGTTCTACAGTTGCAAGAGCTTTAAACACTAAGTTACTAACATCAAGTGTTAATGCTAACCAATCTTTAAATTCATCTCAACCATCCAGTCCAATGAGAAAGGATCCTTCATTATTCAGGTATTAAAATATAAAATGCACATGTAATGGATAATATATATTTACGGACCATTTTGTGCTTATGCATATTTTAGAATGCATTACACATATATAATTAATCACTATTTGTGTTTAGACATGTATTTATATTTTTAGGTATCCTGATCCTACAGATATAGAAACTTCATCAACATCTTTCCAAAAGTTAACTCGTGTCATATCAGACAGATCTCAAGTGAGTGTCTCATATTTCATAGAATCAAATATTCTATTCTTCAAAATAATTTCTTTTTCTTTTTCAGTCACAGTTAGAAAATAATGCAAGTTTATTCAGATATACAAATCCTACTAGGTAAATATTGCTTTGATTTTTTAAAATTAAGTGTGAATTATAATTAAACAGAATTTTTTCTCCAAATTAGATTTGTTAGCATTTTTACTTGATTTTGGAATCTTCTCAATTGAAATTCTATTGTAATTATTTTTTAACACAAAAATAATTAATAGTCATTACTTCCTTATAAGTTTTGAATAATATCTCATTTGTATTTTCAAATCTCTAATTTAGTCCTATGCGAGTTTCATCACATTCAGATGCCTTTCACAATAACATCACAACTTCTGATGCTGCCCAAAATACTTCGGTAAATATTAAATCACATTCTATTATTGATGAATTGCATTTTTGTTTTATTGTTTACTGAAATAAATATTTTTCAGGAGTTCTCAGTAGACAATTTAGATTTCTCTAATATGTCAGAAAAAGATACTATTAATAATTCTGGGGAAAATGACCTGACTGAGGTAAATTATAATCTTTTTTATAGAACAAACTTAGATTTTCAATTCTGTTGTTTATTTCTTAGGAGAATGTAAATCAAGAAGATCAGTTTGTTGACTGTATACCTGCTTCTTGTACGACTTGCACTTCTGGAGGATTGCATGTTCCAAATTCACGGTATATTAATTATTCTGGCTTTCATTCTTCAATTTTGCTCAATATTTATTTTATAATGTTAATAAACATTTTAGATCTATGAAGAATTTTGCTGAACATATCAAGAGATTACGATTTTATAGTCAATGTAATAATGATAATATCTCAGGAGGTTATTACAAAGGTTTTAGTGCAGGTATAATATTTCATTGATATAAATATGAAGTCTACAAATCAATTAAATTTAATTATTTGCTTTTAGTTTTTGTGTAATTTTTGTGGATTTTTTAAATATATAATACTTAATCCATATATAATTATTTGGAGATCACATTATATAATATTTTTTAGGCTCTAGTCCTGCCGATTCATCTGTTATTTTACCAAAAAGCAAACGTTTGCGAAGAACTGCATCTTGTCCAAATTTTGTGCGCAAAACTGCAACTCATTTAGATATTGTCAAGGTTCCTAAGATAGAAGAAGTAGTTGATGCACCGGAGGTTATTAAATTGACAATTATTTAAAAATAATACAGTTTCTAAATTTGTCTACAATTTTTTTCCTGCTTTTAGGAGAAAGAAGTGAAAAAGGAAGAATCACAAAAACCAATAGTTGCTCGTTCTGTCCAAAATAATTCTACACAAACAGTATCATTCTGGCCACAGCCATTTGAACTTCTTTACATTGGGTTATTCCCCTTTGGTGATAATTGTTCAAGCAAACGGAATAGTGCTAAAGATACCATAAAACAATCACCTACTGATCTGCTGGACCAATACATACAATGCTGTATTAATAGACAAAAATCCCACGGATCTGATGATAGGTATAATGAAAATGCTGAGATCAGGTCTTTACGGGAACAGTTACAATTGTTGCACATAGAACTGCAATTTGAGAGGCATCGTAGAGAATTACATGCAGATCGTAACAGACGTCTGCTAGGAAAATGTCGCGATAACCGGGCATTAGAAGAATCAAATGCCGCACTCAAGGAACGGTTGCAGCTGTTTGAAAATGATATTCAAAAGTTAAACCAAGAACTTGGTATGTAATATTATTTAATATTCTTAGAAATACCATCTTGCCTTAAGGCCACCGGAAATTAAAAATCAAATTAAAACATACCAAGTATTTTTTTTTTTAATATTATATAAGTTTCATTTTTATTTCAGATAAAAAACGTGCAATATTCACAAACCAGGAGAGGGAGTGGAAGGCTATTAACCATAGTTGGCGCGAAAAGTATAACACCCTTATGGAGGAAAATGCGATGATGCGGGCAGCTTCCGATGCCTTAAAACAACAATTAGCTCAACAGGCTGATGAACTTTCGAAAACAACATCCGAGTTGCAAGAAGCTAGAGCTATGCTGTTTGATCAAACCCAAGAAATTAGAGAAGCTAGACATCAAGCTGAGGTTTATACATTTTGATATTTATCATTTGAAAGTTTTACTCGAACTACATTCGGACATAACTGCGTTTCTTTCTTTGACTATCATGTGTCTGGTTAGAGCCCGAGCCTTGTTTGGGTTTAAAATTTTCGTGATAATTTTAGCAATGTATTTTTTTATTAACTGATTTTATTCCTAATTTTTTTTCCCTTAGATTGGAGCAAAGTATCGGAATCAGTTGCACCAAATGCATTCAGAGCTTTTATTAATGGGAGAATTGCAATCTAGATATAAGGATAAATTAGCTGAACTACCATGGTTGAGAGCACGAGATGAAGAACTCGAAATTCTGCATTCTACATACCGCGATGAAATTATGAGTAAGTTTAGAACTTAAAAAGAAATTTTTATGTTTATATCTTCTATTTCATGTTTATGTTTATTCTTCTATTTCATTCTCCTGATCACGTCAATGTCAGGAATGTTGGATAGTTATTTAATAAAAATAAGCTCTAGTATAAATGTGTTTTAAGATATTCTTGTTTACAAAATTAGATGTCACGATATTCTGTGTTTTAAATCCCTCTTTCCAAAACCAACTCGTTAAGCTACATTCAGATTGAAAACGTTAAAATTCTTCTAAATTATATAAACTTTAAAAATTATAATAAATTTGTATAGTATTTATGAGCCAATTTCAAATCAAATTGATTTAGATGCAAAATGCTGCTTCTTATTACAACCATTTACTCTTCTTTAAATTTCAATTCATCTTATTTTTACTTAAACTTACATTCCAGTTGATTTCCTCATTCTTCTTAAAGTTTTCATTATTATTTATTTCATTCATGACCAAATAAATTTTAAATAAATTTAAATTTTTTTCAGGTATGCAGCAAACATTAGAAATGAAATCAAATGCTCTGGAAGCTACTAGATTGAGAGTAACTGAACTCGAGAATACTCTTGCTAAGCGAGATTCTAATTTCAGTGAACAGAAACGATTGCTGAAAATTGTTAAAGAAAAATATCAAGTACAGCTTGATGTAAGTTAGACAAATAGTTTTTTTTTCTGTATTTGAATATTATTGACTACAGCTTGTGCAAAATTTGCATAAACAAGTAGATTTCTTCCAATATGCTTCTATATTTTCTAGTTTTTGTGATTATGTGATTGATTTTCTTGTAGGCTGTTGAGAGCAAATATGCAGCACAGAAATCTATAAACCAGCGTATGGAGGAACAGTTACTAGAACTTTATCGAAGTGAGAACTCGGCTCCAATTTCGCCCGATGGCTCGTGCAAAGGTGCTGGTGATCGCTCAGGTCCTATTGTTGGATCCTGGGACCTGTGGCCTGGATCTTCTTCTCCTTTGTCAGCTTCACTGGCCAGCAGCGAAGGAATGATGAGCAGCGCTACAACCGCCTCTGGACTGGCCGGACGTGCAGAAGATATTAAGAACTTGCAGGTTTGCATTTTATTAAACTTAAAAGAAAGCTTGCATTGTATAACTCTATCATATTTTTTTATCTGCTATTTTCAAATTGTAGTTATTACAATATAAATCATATATGAAACATAAGTACCTTTGCAACAAGGATAAAGTATATTTATGAAACTAATTTTTGCAACTATGTTATAGGGTTTTATTTGTTGCAGGTTATTGTAGACCAACCAGAACAGATGATAGGATCAGAGCTTATAGAACAAAATTTACTGCCTAATGAAAACAGAGATATTGACTGATATGAAATTGAGATTTGGTATTTATTCTATTGCATTGTTGTATCTAAGCTTATTAGATTTATATTGTTGTTTCAATAAAAATATATAATACAAATATACATGTGCATGTTTTTTTAAGTTTTTTTCCAATTACATAGTTAAAATGAAAAATTGGAAACTATTAAATTTCTCGTTAAATACGAAGAAATTTGTGGTATTAATTCAACAATTCGAATCAACTGAAATTAAAAATATGCAACTATACCAGCATAAAAGACCTTCTTTATTGTTTATTTTCTATTTGTATATAGAGGAACACTATAATTTGCTTTGTATTTGTATACTATATATTTATATAAGTATAAATACTTATTCATTTAATAAGTGTTCAGCAGATTCGAACCTCGAACTCCAACTCTTCTTCGATGATAATACAAAACAAATCAGCAAAAATTTTCGTCGACGATTTCGGGAACACGGTTCAACCGATTTCAATTACTCAAAAAACATTCGATTCCTATTGATAAGGAGACGTGCTGATTAGTTTTTGGCGAAGGCAGGTCTAGCCGTTCCGAAGATATGGGGCCAAAAGCGGTTAACTCAGTTTTTAAGAGAGCGGAGCGTCTGATTTTAATAATTCAACATTTTATTGTATTGACAAGATGAAGTACTGATTAAAATTGTGGGCAGACAGGTCTAGCGGTTTCGGAAATCTAGTAAAAAAAAAGTGCGAATTGGCGGTCAAAAATGATCATTAGACATAGGCACATCAAATTATCAGATATTTTATGGAGATTTCAATAATACGTTTAAATTTTCTTTACATTTCTATGGGTTCCGTAACATCGTTTGTCTGTTAGACGGCGACGCAGCGCTCACGCGTTTCTATGCAGCTAAAGCAGTACGATTGCTTTGAAAAAAGATCAAAATTTTCAAAATAATTCAAAACAAAGCAAACATTTTTGCTAAAATTTACAATTTCTGCAGAAACCTAATTTTTTCAAAGTTAAAAAAAAATATAATATTTTTTAAAACAAATAATTTTTGGTACGGGAAGTTTCAGGATTTTTTCTTAAGGTACGATGCCATACATGCACCACTAGTTTCATTATGTAATAATAGTTCGATAAATAAATAAATAAAAAAAAAAATAGTTCGAAGTTATTATGAAAGTGTCGTTCTTATGTTAGCGCTTCAGTTAATGCCCGGCATTACTAGTGATTTTTGATACGGGTCAGAATATCGTCAAAATGCAATATCATTTTAAAAACTTTTATAAGAATTTTGTGGTGCATTCGATGTGTAAAATTGTGTACAAAATGTGTAAAATAATGGCGATTTAATTGTGTAAACATACGTGCAACAAACAATTTGACTGGACGCCATGGTACCCAAAATGTTCAAGGTAGGTCAAAACGCTACTACTTTTTTACTGATGCTGATTCATTTGGTAAAAGAAATCTGTTCACACACATACATTTTCTAAATTTGGTCTCATTCGATTCAGAATGGCTTGAAACGTCGAGAAAACATAAAATTAGCGAATCAAATTTTTTATGAAAACAAACTTCTTCGGGAAGTTAATTATAATATGTCTTTTTCCAAATGTTTGTATACAAAAATCAGTGATTTTGAGGATATCTGTAAATTATTGAATTAAACCTTTGAAAGATTACCAAGCATTTAAAATATATATTACATAGCATCAGTTTAATATAAAATGAATATGGAGTGCATCCATCTTTTAAGACACGTGTTGCCAATAGCCTGCCACTACCCTCTGGTCAGTCTTGTATGGTTCTTATAAGAATATGGTTGAATGTATTGGATGTGTAAAAAAATTGTTTAATTTAGTGATATACTTTATTGTGTAAAAACACGTGCTAAAAACAATTTGACAGGACGCCATGGAACCCCCAAAATGTTCAAGGTAGGTCAAAACGCTGCTACTATTTTACTAATGCTGATGTGATCATGTCGTTATTTGATAATGTACTAAGAATGATACTACACAAAGCCTATAACGTTTTGGTAAATTATAATCTGCCTTCTTCCAAATGTCTGTATACAGAAATCAGAGATTTAGAGAATATATGTATAAATTATTGTATTAAACCTCTGGAAGGTTACTAAGCAATAAACTTTTTCAATTACACTATATAATTAGAATGAATATATTCAGTGCTGGATTTACAGTAGGGGCTACTGCCCAAGGCGGCAAATTTTCGGGGGCTGCAAAATTTGGATAGTGAGAAAAAAATTCTATACCATATAATTAACTTATTTTTTTAATAACATTTTTTATTTCAAGAAATATAATTAATAAAACATTATACAAATGCAATGCAAAATTTGGCAATTTGGCTAATATAAGGATACGTAAATGAGTTGAAAGTTTAAAAAAAATATGTTCTTCAGATCTCGAGTCCTTTTAAGACTTTAAAACTTTTAAAATTAAATTAGTGAAGCGTGGCATTGTGCCTTACGGCAAGTTACTGAAACTTTTTGTACTAAAAATTACATTATATAAAAAGCTTTAAAATTTTTGAAAATTGAATTTAAAAAAGCTTTTTTTATATTTCGATTTTTTTGTAAATTATTAATTTTTATGTATTTATTAAAATTAAATTTTATTAGCATGATTCGATTTCTATTGATAGCGAGACGTGCTGATTAGTTATTCACCAAGGCAGGTCCAAAAATAATAATTCAGTTTTTGAAAAATGGAACGTCCAATATCATTAAAAGAAATATACATGTATAGACAAAACGGAGAACTGATTAAATTTGTGGGAGGCAGGTCTAGCGGTTTCGATAATCCAATAAAAAAATTGAAAAAGAAACATTTGGCGGTCAATATGATCATTAAACATATGCACATCAAAATATCATATATTTTAATAATAAGTATAAATTTTGTTTACATTTTACTATGGGTTCTGTTCTTTTGTTCTTGTATCATTATTTATTCGTTATATGCGAGGCGACGCTTACGCGCTTCTTTTTTGTCTCTATAGCTGAATAAAGCAGGCGATCGCCTTATTCTTAAAAAAATTCTTTTATTTTGCCTTGAATATATTAAAAGCATCAGTTCAATGAAAAATGCATATGGAGTGCAAGAATATTTTGAGTGATTAATACCATCGAGGGGGCGCTTCTTTTCAGACGCGTTTTGCCAATAGTCTTTCATTACCCTCTGGTCAGTCTTGTATGGTTCTTATAAGAAAATGGTTGAATATATTCGATGTGTAAAAAATTGTGTAATTTATAAGTTATTATTATAGTGATATACTTTATGTGTGTAAAAACACGTGCTAAAAACAATTGACAGGACGCACTGGACCCAGATGTTCAAGGTACGTCGAACCGCTATTTATAATGACACTGACATAATAAAAGTTGATTTATAAAAATGAAGTGACGCAATGACACAAATTTTACTTCATCTGTCAATTTCAAAATTCTGACTAAAAATACTAATTACTGAATTGAACTTATGAAAGATTACCCGACAGTAACCTTTTGGATTTTTATAGATATTATAATTGAAATATGTATTATATATCAATTTGAACAAATATAGTATAAATAATTATATACAGTACTTGTCAGGGTTTTGAAATCCGTCAAGGCGGCGCTTTCTTTTCAGACATTTGTTGCCAGAATTGTATGCTTTTCTATTGTAGTGTGATGTTTTTTATATACTTTTCTTCACCACCACTGAACACCATTGTTATTAAAATGATTTTGAAAAAGCATCACTATCGCTAAAAAAATACATTTCTCCATACCGTTGGTTAATTAATTCATCATTCACTGCACACATATTATAACAGTAATTACTTATGTCATCATTTCATTTTAATTCGCACGAATTAATTATTTTATATACTTTATTATTTTTTTCATTTATCTTTATTACCATATTACTGTTATTTTAATATCCGATGTTATAATTTACTTATTATTGTGAATTACAACTGTAACTCATAGAATACCAACCATAGAAAGCCAAAATATTTTTACTCATACCGCCCGTAGAATTTTTTTTGCGCTTTTTGTTGGCAGGACTTTTTGTTGGATAGTTTGCAATACGCCTGATTTCACTCCATTAACTGATTTAATAACTAGTTAAATATTAATTAATAAATAAATAATTAATTAATCCACATCAGTTCCACACTAATTCCATAATCCAGAGGTTTCAAACAGTTGAATGCTGAAACTTTTCTACCGTGATTTGAATTTTTCAAAACCATTTGAACTAGTGGGGTGTATGGCATCGTGCCTTACGGCAAATTGCTGGAACTTCCCATACCGTGTTCTAAGAATATTGAATGTTTTCAAATAGATTATTATAAATATTGTAACATTGTCTAATATTTATAAAATTATATAAACTGAATTGCAAAGTTGAAATTATTTGTTTAAGGTATATTAGAACTATAGTCAGAATTAAAAATAAAATCTGAATTATTTTTGATATACAAAATTTTTTTTTTCCAAAATCAATTATTTTGTTAAGGCAAGCAGAAAGTTCTTTGAATCGTTTAAATCGGACGCTTAGTTCTTTCAAAAACTGCCATTTTTTACACATTTAGCTCCGTATCTTTGAAATGGCTGGGCCTGCCTTTGCCAAAAACTAAAAAACATTTCTCCCAAACATTTATAATTGAATGTTTTTAGATCATTCAAATCGGATGTTCCGTTCTCTCAAAAACTCGATTTCTATTTTCTGCACTC